CAAGCCGAAATCCGACAAATGTGCTTCGAAATCAGCATCGAATAGGACGTTTTGGGGCTTTACATCTCCATGAACAATGTTGGATGTGTGTAGAAAGGCTAAACCACGGGCTATGCCCAGGGCGATTAGGTGGCGCATTGGCCAATTGAGGACATGACCATCTTGGTGGGATGCTTCTTGGAGGAGTGTTGCTAGGTTGCCATTAGGCATGTAATCGTGTACTAGGAGCCTTAAGTCCGGCGGTCCTGCGTAATAGCCTCGAAGAACTGTTAAGTTCCGGTGCTTCACTTTGCCTACAAATTCGGCTTCTTTCCTGAATATGTTTTCAGCAAGTGAACCATTTGGTAGACGGCGGATAGAGAGCACCATTCCGTCATTGTAACAAGCCTTGAAAACTAACCCGAACCGTGTTCTGCTAAGCACATTCTCTTCAGCAAACTGCTGAGTTGCTTCGATTGTTTCTGCCACGGTGATCTTGTCATTGAACATAACAAGCTTTGGGCCTCCATTTTCTGAGCTACTACGGCCTCCACTTGCTCCCGAACTATCCCTCGGTGGGCTACGTTTCTTGTTCTCGGCAGTTTCTTTGAGCTTCTTACGCCATCTGAATAGGCTAAAGACATAACAGCAACAACATAATGACAAGAAACAAGCAGCGCATGCTACCGCAACCATCAAAAGAATCAATCGTTTCCTCCTGTACTTTTCGGCTACATCCTCACACTTTCGATGCAATGGTCTTCCACATAGCTCTCGATTATCCGCAAATGCTGATGCATTGTTGAATCTGGAGCCCAGAGTTACTGGAATCTCTCCTACTAGGTCATTTCTCGAGACATTTAAGTAGACCAATCCAGAAATAAGACCGAGACTAGAAGGAATCTCTCCACTCAAGTTATTTGAAGAAAGATCTAGCATCGTAAGATCGAATAGCCGGGACAGAGAATCCGGTATGCTTCCAGAGAGCTGATTACCATCTAGTAACAAAGCTGTCATTGATGAGCCTTTGGAGATGTCCACTGGAATTCCTCCAGTTAAGTTGTTACCACCCAAATCTAGCACATTCAACCTCGAAAGACGAGAGAGATCAGCAGGAATTTGACCTATCAAAGAATTTGATCTGAGCTCGAGAACTTCAAGCTCAGTACAGTTTCCTAGCTCTGGTGGGATCACCCCAGTTACGTGATTATTAGACAATGAAAGAACAACCAGTGAACGAAGAAATCCGAAAGTTTCTGGTAATTGACCGGATAATGAATTGGAACTAAGATTCACATATTGCAAGCTCATCAAGCTACTCAAACCTTCGGGAACATCCCCAGATAACATATTTTCCTGCAACGCAATGACTTGTAGATTAGGTAAACCTGAGAGTTCAAATGGCAACTCACCAGAGAGGTTCTGCTTGCTTAAATCAAGAGTAGTTAGCTTGAACAAATTGCCCAAACTTTCCGGTATCTTACCATAAAACCCGTTAGCACTCAAATTCAGAACAGCAACCTGACTCAAGTTCCCGATACTTACTGGAATCTTTCCGGAAAACTTGTTTCCACTCAAGTCCAACGTACTCAAATTGCTCAAACTCATTATCTCATCTGATATGCTTCCACTCAAGTTGTTACGTCCCAAATTCAAGGTTTCAAGCTGAGTAAGATTCCCAAGATTCCGTGGAATAGAACCGGAAAATAGATTACCCCCAAGGGAGAGCACTTTCAAACCAATCATGCCACCTAAAAAACCAGGAATTTCACCAGAGAGTCGATTTCCTTCGAGATCAAGAGCATGTAACGAACCACATTGCTTAATCTCAATAGGAACAACCCCAGTTAATGAATTATTAACCAGTTTCAGCTCCTCCAATCTATGCAAATTCCCTATTTCAACTGGAATCTCACCTGATAAAAAATTCCCAGAAATATCCAACATTGTTAACGATGTTAAACGCGTTAACCATAAAGGAAAAACCCATCAAACTCATTCCAGGAAAGATCCAAAGCCTGTAAAACACTATAGCATTTCCCTGACTCAGGACCAGCAACATTCTCGAATACATTAAACCCCAACTGAAGAATCCGAATGGAAGGCGGATAAACAGTAACATTACAGAACAATGTAATCGGCACCGTTCCGGAGAGCTTGTTATGAGCAAGTGAAACGACTTGGAGTTTAGGAAGAGCTCCAATGGCTGCTGGGATAACCCCACCAAGTGCATTGGCATCGGCACTGAAATGAATCAGTGAAGTGCAGTTGGCTAAAGCTGAAGGTAAAGTCCCTTCCAAAAGATTATAACCAAGCCAAAGATACTGAAGCTGTTGAAGCTCACCAATGCTAGTGGGAATCTCACCAGAGAACTGATTATACGAAAGATTAAGGAATCGCAACTGTGACAAATCAGCAATGCTTCTAGGAATCGATCCGGAAAACGAGTTCGACGAAAGATCAAAATACTGAATATTCCGAGGGAGATCTCCTGGTATTCCGCCGGATAAATGGTTTGAGCTAAATTTAAATTGGTCAACGCAGTGAGATTACTTATCTCGGATGGTAGTGTCCCGGAGAGTGAGTTGGACTGCAAGAAAACAAATCTTAGAAGCTTGCATTGTGAAAGACTTGAAGGTATGCTGCCATTGAATGCGTTGGAGCGGAGGCTGAGCTTGGTGAGGAACTTGAGGTCAGAGAGACGATCAGTGAGTCGACCACCGAGTTGGAGTTCAGGTAGAAGTAGCTCGGTGACACGGTTGTCGGAACAAGTAACTCCACGCCAATCGCATGGAGCAGCAGGTGTTGAAGGATCCCATCCGTTTAAAGCTCCAAGTGGGTCATTAAGATTGAGCTTGAAAGACGTCAATGCTTGGATCTCAGCTTGGTCTGATTCGGCCGGTGATGAAAATGGTAAACAAAGAAGCAAAAAAAGGAAAAATGTGAAACCTTTAGTCATTTGGTTAACATTAACAACAGCAAAGTTTGATTCTTTGGCAACAGAAATGGAGTCGCTTTGAACAAATGGTGTCAAAATTAATGAGAACATAGAGGAAGAAGCAATTGTTACAGTTAAAAAAATGTTGGTTTCGCCATGAAAACAACAGTGTTGAGTTTTTGATAATCTCTGTCTGTCTGTCTTTTGAAAGGGGGAGTGGTGGGGCACAGAAAAAGGGAGGGCTTGGCTGCTCCTTTTAACCTCAGAAGATATGATGGGGCAGAATCATTGAGCCCTGTGTGATCTTGTCTTTGCCCTGTTGTAATCTTTCTTTCTTCCCCCCCCCCTCTTCTTCTACTAGCTTTTTCTTACGTATTTTATGAGAGTAATACTTTTTTTTAACATATGACTGGAATATTATGTTGTACATCGGTAAAAATCAGAAATTGGAATAGAATAGGCTAAAAAACTGTTTTCCCTATATTTTATCTAACTATTGTTAAATTAATCTATTAATAGAAAATCGTAATTTAATTACTTCGATCACCGATTTAATTATTATAACAATACTTTGAAGTCCTTTGAACCTCCTTCACTTTTGACATTTTGGTGTTCCTATACCACTATTTCAAACTTTAAACTTTTCTCTGTTCAGTATTTGGTTCAAAAGTCAAGATGAGAATGGTATTTTTAGGAAAAAGAAAATTGTCATCGCACATTCTTCTCAATTAGGAGAATTGAAGTCAAGAAGCAAGCTGTAAACCCTACCCACCAAACAAAAGGCTAATCACATCAAACACTGTGTGAGTCCCCACCTTGAGTAAATGATGCAAAAGGCAGCCCATTAATTGGGGTTTTGGTGCCAAATTTGATTTGATTTGTGTTTAGGAGGGAGCCTAGTTTAAAAGCCTAATTAATTAGGTTTAGAAAAGCTTAGATGTCAAGCCAAGATAGCATTATGATGTGCTTTTGCTAATCTTGACATGTTGCACTGTCAACACTCCTGCCCTGATAACCTGGAATGGACCCCTCCAAGGAATTGTGTAGCAAAACAAAATTTATTACTAAATTCTCACGCACTATGATAGATTATGCCCTATTAGACGCTAAAAGTATCATTATACATTTTATTAATCTATCATTGATATTCATTTGAGTTCGATTTATATATTTAAGTCTACTCAAACTAGTCATCTTTCTATAACTTGTTACGATATTAGTTTACTGTGCTCAACTACCGAAATCAAATCGAGACGGACATATTCAAGTTGTTGGTGCAATTTCAGGTGGCAGGTGTACCGGATGCAGCCGAGTAAATGACTTGTTCTTTTACCTCCTATGGAATTATGATTTTGTCAGGATTGGAGAAGAATAAGAGGAACGGCGAGAAAATAATGAAGAATAATTGGGAAACGAAGATCGAGGGTTAGGGATTGAGGAAAGAAATTGAGAATTCAAACATATAAGAGGCACGGAATTACTTACAGAGCAGGCCGAGCAAGAGGAAATACTGAAGGAGAAGCCCAAGACAAAAGGCCACCTGTGAAAGAAAAGAAAGAGAAGAATCAAGTAGTTACATAATTGGGACAGCTGACAATTAATGAATGGCATTTATAACTAAATAACTAACAAACTCTGGTGTAAAAAATGCTTATGCAATAAATGATGAATTTTCTTCTCTATCATCTCTCTCTATCGTCTAAATTCTTCTCCTAAATCCTTTCTTTTCTCTCAAGCCATAACAGATTTAAAGAGATTGGCCAGTGGAATGCAGGTAGCACCATTGAAGACTGTACTAATTAAAGCCTTAATCCAATAAATTTTGCAGTGGTGGATCAACGGCCGCACTTAATGAAGAATTGTATGTAAAGATTCCAGCCCATAATGTATACCGTTTTGTTTACCAAAAAGAAAGACCTGGAATGGAATCATCATGGCTGACAACTGACCCTAGTGACATATATATAAAGAGAAGAAAAATAAAGCATAATCTTTGATAAACCTTGAGCAAATTTAAAATGATTTACAAACTCTCGTAGTATACTAACAGCATACTCAGAAAATCCAAAATCGAAGTCCGTAAACAATAACAGATATATATAATATATATATATGAAACATATAAGTGGGGATTATCAAACAGAAGTTTTTGTATGAAACCTATCTTACATAACACCTCTACTATAAGAAAGACAATACAATGCGTTTCAAGCTATAGTTTCTCTTGCTTGATTGTTGTCCTGATGTGAAGTTGAGCCCAAACATTTCCTTAAATGTCTTCTCTGGGTCTACAAAGCCAACCAGCTTTGCAACAATGGCAGCGCTCTCGGCAATGTGATCCATGTCTTTACAGTCGGTCCACAAGCAGTAAGCCAACCGCAACCTCCTGTGTTTCGTGTTCAGCCCGATGCCCCATTTAAGGAAGAGATTCTCTCTTTCTTGAGAGGAGAGTCTCTTGCGCATCTGCTGGCTCAGCATATGCCTTTCACGACGTAGAGCCTTCTCACTGTATACAACATATTCATAGAGATAATTAAGTTGCTTTGGATTAAAAAGGGTATTTATCACCAATACTCCGCAAGTTAACGAGAATAAATCTTATATACCTTGAAGCCGGGTTAAGAACTTTTCCGTTTTGCACCATATGATTACCGTGGGACAATACACTCCTAAGAAATGACAGCCTCCTATGTTCGACCTCCGTGTATATATAATCTTTTGGATCTCCCTTAAATAGCAGAAAAAAGTAGGTCCTGTGGACCAATGACACATTGCAAGCATGCCATAGTTCAATGATCTCTCTTTGAAGCCTCTTGAATTCCGAAGGCCATGCTGAAGGACTTCCACAATTATCTGGTATTGGGTCCAAGCCAACGTCTTTAACATCCTTACCATGTAAAATGGGCTCTGTGACCTGTACCTGTCATGCATGAACAATATCATATTCAGAAGGCTATTCTAAAGCATATCAACAATAGCATATTCAGCATGGATCTCCTGTTTCGATCATGTAGTTAACTTACCGCATGATCAGCAAGTTGCTTCTTATACATTTCTTCTGTTCCTCCCATGGAAGTAGAGAAAACAGTATTATTCTGATCCTCTGGAGTTGGGACATCCGGAGCAATATGATTAATTGCAGCACCACTTGTCAAAGAACTTTGAGATCCATTTTTCGCTATCGGGGCATTAAGCTCATATTCGGTAGCACTTGTTGAAGAACTTTGAGATCCATTTCTAGACAACCCCTCGTTTGGGAGGTCATACTTTAACGCAGGAAGCTTTTTCCGGAAACTATCTGGTCTTCCAGGGAAATCTTTCTCATTCTCCATGGGAGGTGTGCTCTCATTCTTATCTAGCCTTTCAATCCATTCTGAGGTCAAAGCGGTCATCAGACTCGCTTGACAACTTATACTCCTAGTTAATTTCAGGCTTCTACGGCTAGATATTTCTTCTTTTAGCTCCCATAAATATGGTTTTTCAGGAGATGGAAAAGCAATATCTGGATGGTTTCTACTGTTTTTCAAGTGGAATGACAGAGATTCTCGCTTTGATCTATCTTCATTCCCAATATCCATCAATCCTGAAATATCCGTGTTTTCTCTTGGAGAAGACTTATTATAATTTTCATAGTTCTTCGGGCTAGATTCTGACAAATTTGAGTCTGAATATCTATTCATACTTGACCTTCCGGAGTCAATGCAACGAACTTCTTTGCAGGGTGCCTCTGAATTTTCATCAAGTTCACCATTTTCGTCCTGGCGCCGATTACTTCCGACAAAATTTGGAATTTTAGGTGACAGCTGCGGGAAGGAACCGGGATGTGGTATTTTCGATTTGAAGTCAGGAAGCTGGAGGAAGCTCTCTTCAGAACTGCAGCTTTGCCTATCCGAAGGGGTAAAGGACCTATCACCGACATTCATAACAGGTGTAACAATGTTTGAATGTTCACAGTCACACGAATTTTGCACTCGCAGTTTGGGGTAATGAGGATCTGGAGATGCCTGGTGAAGGAGGAGAGAGATTGTTGTTATGGTAAAGTGAACTTAAAAGAGGCATCGAATGATTCAATTATTTAGACATACCCATATTTTCACTGATTTTTCATCTCCGGGACTTTCATCCTTTACCGATTGTCGCAGTTCCTCAACCTCATACCTAGCAAGTTCTCTTTGCTGTATCAGCGTGTTTATCTCTTTCTTCAGCTGCATGAAGCATGTAGGAAAATTGAATAATTCATGGACTAAAATTACCCACCAGCCATTCTAAAATTACTCAATGAGTGATGCAATGCAAATCGAACCTTTTCGATCTCGAGGTCTTTCTCTCTCAGTAATTCAGCAGAATCAGAGGAAGCAGAAGTCGTTCTTGCATTTCTCAGCTCGTTCTCTAGTCTAGCCAATTTCTTTGCAATCGCTTCACTAATGCTTTATCGGATACAACCACATTGACTTGTGCATTGGTAGTCACTTCTTTAGCACAACTTGCAAACAAGAGGGTGTTTCTCGATTGTTCAACATGAGTTCGTGCCGGACTCAGGGTACAAATGATAGCAGTTCTAGCATTGCCTCCTAGGGAAGACTGAAGTATACGGGTCAGTTTTGAATCTCTGAAAGGAATGTGCCCATTTCTTCCCTTGCTGCAGTCAAATGTAAATTTATAAGAAGATATGGTTACAATCACTGCTTTATGCTTGAGGCTCAAGGTGTAATATAAGCATCAAGTAGGGTAACCCTGAGTAAAAGTGAATCCGAATCCGAATTCATAAACATCAGGGACATGCATGAAAAGGAAAAAGGAATGAAAAAACCATGATAAGTATTTTTGTAAGTTTTATGGTACTAGAATCTATTTTTGGCACAATACCAAAGGACAGGAAAGCAATGAAAGTTGCTGGTTTTCCATAAAAGGGATTCTCATTGTTCAGAAAGAAAAAGATTCTCAAAGTGCTACAAACATTAGAACAAGATTTGATAAGCTAACCTCAGCTTACGGATGACAGTTCCGAGTGTCAATAAGCTTCGGTTTATATGGCAACCTTCTTTCAACCTAGCACCAGCTGATAATGTCTGAGATGCACGTTCACTTCCTGCGAGATCAACAAAGTTCTGTAAAAAAAATGGCTGAAAACATCAGTTTCTTTTTCCAATATCTGTTGTCCAATAAAATCAGACTGAAAAGTAGATTTGTTTCGTACCACAGTGGCTGCAAGGGTACTTGGTTTGCCATTGCCTAAAAATTCTCGTGTGGAACTTTCTATTGTCTGATGAGGACATTGGCACATAAATATATATATCAATAAGTAAAACAGAATCTCATATCATTTTAGAGTGAACAGTATTGAAGTGTTGCCATGAAACAGAAAACATACCACTCTCAAAATTTGATGGGATCTAGAGCTTGTTTCATTCAGAGAAGTCTCTCCTATTTGTCTTTGAGCTGCCAACAAGCATCAACACATGCTTAAATACAGTCATGAGCTAGTTAAAGGGAGACTTGTTGAGACAATTTGTTACCTTCACACACCGATAGAAGCTCTTTAAAATGATTCCAGTCCCGCAGTGTTTCTTCTGTGAGTTTCTCAACAACTGTCCCTCTCTATTGAATCAGCTATCGGTTAGTGAGATATTCCGTAAGATAACTACTTCCTAATGAACAAATGATGTAACGTTGTAACTCACTTCTGGATCATCTAGAAGCCTAAGAGGAGTACTGTCTGCACTAAGGAGATCTCTGACGGATTCATTGTAAATTTCCATAGCCGAGAACTTCAGGATAAACTCTCTTTCTTTGTGCTACAGAAAAATACAGTATGTTTTTAGCCAAGGAGAGGGATACAATCGAATAGTATAACCACAAGTGCGCGACAAAAATGTTCCATCTCCATTACCCTTTGTATGTAGTCATAAATATCTGTCATGGCGTACTCGGTGATTCCGGTCATTGTATATGTCTTTCCACTGCTTGTTTGTCCGTAAGCAAAAACACTTGCTGAAAAATAGTTTCATGTTAAGAATTGAAAAAGGAGATCATGAAGTTATGGGGAGTCAACAAAGAGCCTTATGGAGGCATGCAAAAGGAAAGAATAAGATGCACTCACAGTTTATACCACTAACAACTGAAAGAGCAACTTCCTTTGCTCCTGCTTCATACACTTGCTGGTTCGCGCAATCGGAGCTGAAAACTCTGTCTGAAATCAGCAGCACACCCACGAATCGGAAAGAACGAAAAAGAAAAAAAGAACTATGAGAAACGACTCATGTCAACTTCATACATGATGAAATGCCAATAAATTTTCCTATCAAGAATCAAGGTCTTGGTAGTGACAAACTCCCAATTCACCTTAGGCAAGCAACATTCTATACCGGAGATTAAGACATGATATTGTCGGGAAAGCAATCATATTATACATGAACTGAAATCTGATTTCTTACCAAATGTATAGGCAGTTGGGTACATGGATCTCTCGGAAACTGAAAGGCTGTTCCGGTATATGATAGTGTTATCATTGATGCATTCCCAGTCTGATATATCGTGCCTAGCTATTTCCTTCTCACTGAGAGGGCGCAGTCGAACTGAAACGAAAATTCTCTCCTCACAGCTTGCTGGCTCTTGCATTTGCTCATCTCCACCGTCCATCCACATCTCCGAGCTTCTTTCTCCAAAAACGAATGCTTCTTTTTATTTATCTCAGCTCCCTACCACTCATTCTTCTGCATTCAATTTGGCTCATCACAAACTCAAAAGGTTTGACAACGAAGCTCCTATTAGTATGAGGACCACCAAACTTTTAGGAAGTAACAAACATTGCCTGCAATCAACAAACTAATCATGGGTTAGCGCCAAATCTACCCTTCAGTAAATTGTCTCAACCCAGAAACAAAACCGCCCCATGTCTTTATCTGAAATCTTTATTCAGAAACGTCAATGTAAACACAAATAATTGGCCAAAGGGAAACAAAAACCGATCCTTTATCACCGGCTACAATAGTTCTTCAAGTCAACAAGCATACGGCGGGACTATTCAATTTGAGTTTTAATTAATTCAAGATTTTGGACTGTTCTAAGATGGACTCTGTTTACAGACTGTCAAAGTCAGATTCTCACACAGTTTAAAAACATAATCTTTTTGGAATAATCATTAAAAGAAATGAAATTACAATTAAGAAGTTTTTACCTTGGGATCGAAGGGTATTACTATTTTCCAAGGAATGTTTGATATTTTCCCCAGATTTGGATTCGGAACATCTGCAAAATATCAACTTCGTTGTTTCCCTGGGTTTTCTTCTTCTTCCAAATTTAACCTGAAAGAAACAACATAACCCAACCTCATTTTAAACCCAAATTCCAAATGCAGAGAACAATAAGCAGAATTGAATATCCTTTGAGCACGAAAAGAATTACAGGAACAAATTTCAACTAAACTTCAAATTCTTCAGCTTTCAAACTTCGAATTTGAACTCCCATCAGGCTGCATTGAGGGAAACAGAGAGCACAAGAGAAGAAAATTTATGATCTTTAATTCTCTTGAGAGGGAAGTTGGGGTCTTTTAATGCAATGAAGTGAAGTGAGTGAGATATTGATGTGGCTATGGCGCCTACTTCTTTGTTTTGATTGTTAGTTGATTTGGAAGCTGCTCTTAAAGTGAAAAAATAATTAACCTTCAAATTAAAACAAAATTGGAAAAGCTTTTTGATAACAGAAGTTTATTAGATTACAGTTTAAGCTGTACCAAATTTGCTTAGCAAGTAAGCCTTGTTGTTGGTCGTTGCATTAAATTATTGCTCAAGTGTTCCAGATAGAACTAACTTTTCTAAATTTAAACTGGATTTCCATCTTTGGGTGGGTGCTAAAATGTATGATTCATCAAGCTTGATGGGTTATAATCTAGCATTAGGGCTTTTCACCTCTTTTGTTCTTTCTACTTTTAACACTTCACATCAAAATTCCCATGCATGACAGTTGAAATGCAAAAGGTAAAATTCTTCCATTAGTCTTTACAATGTGTAAATTATGTATTTAATCCTTCTAATTTAATTTGATCATTTTTTAACTTATACTTTTCAAATTCTGAAATGGTCCTAATCTAAATATATATATTTTTTGAAAATGAGATTTTGTATGGTTTTATTGATCGAACACATGCAAAACAGGGCATCAATATGAGTCTCGTTAAAAAATCTCTCTAAATGGAAGAAAATAAAGTGCACCATGTCGGTGTCTACCCAATGACATCTAATAATTCATATATCTAAATCTACTTCCACATTACTGAGTAATGAGGATTTTGATAATGCATATCCAATAGTGTATATATATTCATATGTTTTGAATTTGCACCACATAATAATTTTCGTATTTAAATTTAAATATTATTTGAATTTATAATATTTAAATCCACTAAAACATATTAGATATCCACAAATATTAAAATCCTCAATCGGAACTGTCATTTATTATTAGTACTTATACATAAATTATAGATTTAGTTCCGATAATTCAATCATAAATCTTTATGCTATTTGAGTTAGGACCAAAATTTTTAATCCGAAAAGCATAAGAATTTAAATCGATCAAATTAGAATAGATAGACAAAACTCTCAAGTTATGTATAGTATAGGATCTAACTACAAAAATTTACCAATGCAAAAACATCATGTTTATCTTAGTAATTTGACATCATTTTCAATCAATTTTTTGTATCATAAAAGTTCAAACATGGTGTATGATATTATTATTGAGTTATTACCAAATAATAATAATAATAATGATTTTGCATGTCAAAAACAAGTACGTATTTTTATGTTACAATCCGACATTATTATATATAATTTGTAAGATTTGACAGCTTAAATAATTAGATTACATGCATGTGCTCTTCCCTTCTTTTGTTCTCTCAAGAACGACGCCTTCTCTTGATCTCTTTTTCACTCCACAAAACACCATTCCTTTCTTTCTGTTCTTTCTTGCTTTTGCTTTTCTAGCACATGGTTTCTATATTATTGAATTAGGTATATGACTATGTGTTTTCTTCTCATATTATCATCATACATATATGTATTCCTTGAAATGCACAAACATTAGGGTCATAATGTTTTATAAGTGTTCCGACTCAATTCATTTCATTATGTTATGTCACGAGACATAAGTTGTAATTATTTCTTTTTATAAACTCCTCCAAGTTTTGTCTAGACGATAAAAACCATGGGGTTCTGTGAATGTATTTTTATGTTATAATCTGACTTAATATTTTAGTAAAATTAACAACAAAATTGAGGTGTTAGCACAAACTAAAAGAGTATCGATCTCAGTGCATGTAATCACCGTAAAATTCTTAAAAATTTTATCTAAAAAAAATTTAACAAAAATCAATTGAACAATCACAGTGGCATACACATGCAATAGAGTTATTATGCCCCATTCAGCGAAAGAAGGAAGTAGTGACCTTTAAATAACCTTCTAAAAGTATATTCCTTCTCAATGTAGGATATATGCCTTTTATTTTCTTAAAACATTATTAATTAACATGTCTGATTGATTAATAAGAGTATAATATGAAATTATTCTTTTTTTTAATTAATGAAATTATTCTTTTTGAATATTTATAAATTTCTTAATTTCTTTTACCATTTTATATATCTTCACATATTCGAATTTACGCTCTCAAAAATAAGAGAATACACTCTATTAGACGGATATTAATAAATCCATTTACATGGTTGAATTGGTATTCATTTACTATTTTATTAGGAAAAAAATGTGGGTTCGAAAATGTGAAGGTTAAGCATTGATGGGTACCAAGACGAGATTTATTGGGGGGGGGGGGGGGATACTGTAATTCTAGTCTCCATGAGCATAGAGCTCTTAACAATATATTATAGAGAAATAAGTGCATTTTCTTTCAAATTAGCCTTTTCAACACATGGAAAATGTCACCTTCTGGTTTGTTTGATATCTCTTCTTCTGAAATTTAATATGATAATAAAATAAATTTAAATTTGGCATTAGGAGCTTATTGTTTAAAAGTATAAACCGACCAAGAATGGTTGAAACTCGCTTTATGTAACCTAACCAATTAATTATAAACAACTGTATATCTCTGTAGATTAAATAAAGAAAATAATAATATCATTTATGATTTAGTTTTTGATTAATTTTTATTTTCTCTGAAAAAAATCTTTTGAGTGCAGTGCAAGAATTAATAATCCCACCGACAAGATGGGGACGGTTTGCTAGATTATCAAAATCACATCTATAATTAATTGTTAACAAGGTGTTTAAACATCTTTTTACTATGAAAACATTGCAACAACCATATGTTTAGTAATAACACTTACTTAATAATTGGGCTACCTTAAAAAAATGTCTCAAAGAAAGCCTAACTGATAATCCGAATCATAAATGGGGTCTTCAAACTGTATACTATTTGATAACAATGCATATGCCTCTGTTTCCCTGGATTCAAGACATTGCTTTTGGTCTTGTTTTCGGCTCTGTTTTTTTTTTTTAGCTGCTTCTTAGTTGCATTTCTTTTTGTTTTCAGTTTATGCGGTCCAAGAGAGAAAAACCTAACTGATAAAAAAAATAATAATGTTACGTTCAACGGAAGATGCAGAGCTACACTACACTGTCAAGTGGGGTTGATTTGGGTTTACGAAGATTGATACGTATCAATCTGTTTTGTTTTGCTTTCAAACGAGTTAATGTCGTCTATTCCAACAGGGCCCTGTTTGATTACACGGCAGTGGGCAAATGAGCAGGGTGGCAAATGGCAATGAAGCCCGAATTCACAGGGCATTTCAATTAGGGTTTTTGTGGTTCGTGTTACTCAAATCAAGAGTCATTATCTATGAATGTCGTACTTCAATTGATGCCATTAGTGCCTTACGTGGTCCAAATATAGCTTCATTTGTAATCACAAATTTTATATTATATGTATTTATAATCAAGATTTAAATTAATATATGATTATTTGTGACAAAAAATTGAACTCATGATCCTTTTATTAATTCCAGCATGATGCTTAATATAATGGTAATGTCAATTAGGTTAGGTAGATGTATATTAGTAGAGAATATATATATATATATATATATAAGAAAAGAAAAGTGGAACAGGTAGCCCTCATAGCTATTGACAGATAGTTTGGTTTAATGCATTTGGGCGTGTTGATCAAACCAATAAAATATATGACGTTTCTCCAAATTATCACCTGAAACTTTTTTAATTGCGTAATTAATTTTTGTTTAACGTTGCTGTTAGTAGCTGACTCAGAATCTTCTTTAAAATAATCACTATTGTTATGATCGAGACGTTTAAAATGGTAACGTTTATAATGTTAGATATCTGAATTGACCGGAAAATAATTACGCATGTAAATGAGAAGATGTATAATTTGGACACTTATTTTATATTAAAGTTTAATAGTATTATAAAAGTAAAGACAACCGGTTAAATTAAAATAAAAAAAAGATAACCCTAATTTCTTTTCTTTTTTTCGTCCTCCTAATTTTTGAAGATTTATCTTATTTAATCCGAACCGATTCATGCCGCACATTTGATTTTGATGATCCCGACAAGTTTTTCTACATATACAAGACCTTGAATTTAAGACCTACTTAAGTAATATTAAATTGCTTATCACTTAAATCGACCCGTTGATTATAAAAGTAGATTTTAATATAGTATAGGAATTAGACCTTGGTATTGATATTCAAGATGGCATTCATGGTCTGGACAGTTTAAGGCATGTACAAGTTCTACTAAATTATTTTGCCTTGATTTGGACTTCAAGTTAGTACAAGACCGCAAGGCCCGCCTTGTCTAAACCCCAAAACAGATAGCTTGGAGACAGTTAAATTTATCCATTGGGCAGATGGAATTTCCTTGATTAATATATATCTTATAAAAGGAGAAACAGCAGAGAAATTTCTCACCATTTTGGAACTTTCTACCTCCTGTTTCTAGGATTACTAAAAGGGCACTGCTGCCCCTTGATGTTTGTTTGGTTTTAGCCTTCAAACTCAACATTTCTGGGCTTAAATGATCCATTGTAGAATTGTCAATGATCTTAGCACCATCTCCAACAAACAAGCTAAACCAGACAGCTTTGTTTTTTAATTTCAACTTGATTTTCTGCATATGGAATGATCAGTACAAAAAAAAGACGCGTTCTAAAGAAAATACTAGCTACTTGTAATCCACATAATATTAGCTTGGGAAGTAAGATCAGAATTTGCCGGGAAAGTTCCTCGTAGTCACTTGAATTTGAATTTAGGGAATGGGATGTTTCTTTCTATAAAAGGAGCATAAGGGCAGTAACCCTAGTCATCATTCAAAGTGAGATACCAGAGAAAGGAAGAAGCAGAGTGTACGAGTGAGAAAATGGAAACTGTGGAAGTAAACAACTTCGAGGGCGCATTGCCACTTCTGTCATTGAACCATGTCTCATTGTTGTGTAGATCAGTTTGGGATTCGATGCGGTTCTATGAAGAAGTTTTGAGCTTTGTTCCCATCAAACGCTCTTCTTCTTTCAAGTTCAATGGAGCTTGGTAAGCTTATCGCTTTATCATTGTTCAATAATTCCCCAGTTTTTAATGAAACTGATGTGTGAGATCTTATTCAGGTTGTATAACTATGGCATTGGGATACACTTCAGAATCCAACGATCGACGATTTCGACACTATCGCTGAACCGCGACCGATTAATCCTAAAGATAATCACATATCCTTTCAGGTATAGTGTTTGAGTTAAAATTGAATCTTTCAGAGACTAAGCCTGCATCTGCACCATTAACAAGTTTTGGTTTTTGATGACAGTGTACTGATGTTGGCCTGGTCTTAAGGAGGCCGGAAGACATGGGAATGAAGTACGTCACGGCCGTGGTCGAAGAGGAAGGGAACAAGGTTGAACAGGTGTTCTTCCATGATCCAGATGGTTACATGGTTGAGCTCTGCAACTGCGAGAACATTCCGATCATTCCACTTTCTTCATGCTCATTCAAGCCAAGGCTAAGCAGTTTCATCAAGTCTGCACCGGCTAAATGTGGATTCATGGAGAACGCGATGATGGAGAGCTTGAGCTTGGAAATGCTCAACATGTCATTTGAAATTGCACCAGAGAAAAGAAAACTTTCACCATCTTTTTCTCCTATTATACGCTACAATTGTTTTCACAGTTCTTACAAATTACAATGGCCTGCTGTCTTGTTTTTTCATGAACAAATTGTGTATTGCTTAAAAATAATTAAATTTTAATTTATATATATATATATATATATATGGATTTTTAATTTATATAATTAAATTGCCTATTGTTTGTAGTGATCTAGAAATTTAAGAATAGAGTCCAAAATTATAATATTCTTTTCTTAAAAATAAAAAATATGCAAAAAATTTCCTCAACACATTAAACTAAATTTAAACATTTTTTCAAAATATTGAGATACACTTGGCCCCTGCAAGGACGGACGAAAGATTTGATGTTAGAGTGGCGAACATATAAAATTTAAGTAGTTGAGAATTTATAAGGTTTTGGGGACGAAAATATATTTATAATAAAAAAAAAAAATAAAATATCTAAAATATATAAATTTAAAATTTTTTAGGGGCAATCGCCCCCACCTGTCCCTCTAGATCCATCCATACCTAGGGGGCTTAGTGCATCCGTTACTAGCGACCACCTTAGATATAGATAAACTCACATCATCACCTCTGTCACTTTGTCAATTTAGATTTTTTTTCTTCAAAATTTCTTTAAAAGTAACGAATTAAACATAAAAAAAATCCATCATTTGGGGTTGAAAACTTTATCTGATTTGAGAAATTTGAGATATTTGTTCCAAAATATAAATAATGAAAAACATTTTTTAAGAAGACAAAAAATTCAGTTAATTCAAAATAAAAAATAATTTAAATCAAAATGATTTATATCAAAATAACTTAAGCTAAAATTAAACTAGAAATAACTTGAACTCAATTTAATCGATTCAAATATGAAGCATAATGACTTAAATTCGAATGGCTCTAAACTCACGATAACCCAAACAATTAACTAAAAATGAGATGAACTTGAATGGTAAATCAAATAAACGAACTTCAAACAACTTAATCCAAAATTATCTTACCTCAAAATCTTACTGACAAATCTTAGGGTGTTTTTGGTTTATGAAATGTAATATTACCTCCCGGAATAGAATTACCGGAATATAACATTACATGATATATTATTGGGAATGTTGTATTGTTGTGTTTGGTTTGTTTAGCAGAATGTAAGAATATAATGTTTGGTTAAATGAATAAAAGATTATTGAATGTATATTTATCAAATTGTCCTTATTATATATTTGTTTTTTAACAAGTTGAATTCTAAATATTCAAATGAAAATATTTGTATAAAAGATCATAGAAATATATAATTTTACTATTTTTAATTTATATATTTTCTTTATAAAATTTAAATTGAAAATTTATATAATTTTTTTATAAAATTTAAAAGATAAATAGGTTTAATGAAAGGGTTTAATTTTATTTTAACCCCTGAACTTCATATAAAATTCTAATTGTGGACTTTTTTGTAAATCTAAAACAATTTAAGGATAAATTTACAATTTAACCTTCATAGAAAATATTTTTTATTCAACAACAAAGAAGATATTTTTAAAAAAAAATATTTTAAGTGCATTTTAGTCCAAACCCATGGGAAATGACAAATATCTAGGTAATTGGGGGATGACATTTCGGTAAAACATCCTCAAAATGCCACTGTTAGGAATGACTTATTACCCTATATTAGGAATCTTTGCAATCCAAACATGGGTATTATATTCTGAAAAAAAAATTTCCCCCAGGTAATCTTTTTTCCCCATCCAAAAGCATCCTTAATGATTTAAACTCAATTGAATACCGTAAAATTAAAATGATACGAACTCTAAAGATTTATAACGTTATATTAACACGACCTAAATCCAACAAATCCCATAGCCAAAAGTTATTTAGTAGTGTTCGGGTACTTTTGTATTAGCAACTGTGTGATGTGTCGCCATGCATGGGGCTGGGGATGATAAAGATGTAAACACCAACTGCAATGCAATATTTGTTGTATATATGATATAAGTATTTTTAAATAAATATCCTATTATAAAGTTTTGTGTATATATATATATATATATATATATTTATTATTTATCACTTATTTGAACATAAATATTGCATACTAACTGCTGCTAGCATCTGCCCAAACTATCACTCACTGTATTTCTCACTTGCACAACTCACGCACAAACCATCACAGCTGTTCCACTGCAATTTAAAACCGTGCATGAGGCAAGCACGTAGAGAGAAAAAAATGGTCCGAATGATTTCATTGAGGGTTCTTTCAAGGGTTAAACTTTCGCTTTCGCTTTTTGGATAATGTCATATTGTAAAGGGGAAGCAGCAAAGAAATTTCTTACCTTTTCGGGACTTTGTAACTTTCTGTCTTTAGGATTCCTCGCAACGCTTAAACCGCAGAGAAATTTGGTTAAGCTTTTAAATCGCCATTTTTGGGCGCAAATGAATCATAATAGAATCGATTTGTCATTTGATCTTAGCAGCAGCTAATTCCACATTAACCTTAAAGAGCTTAGGCTACAAGCTGAACCACATAGCTTTGTTTTTGTCTTGCAATTCTGCAGATGAATTATTAGTACAAAACGCGTTCTAAAGCAGTAACTAGCTACTTGGAATCCACAAAAATCTTCAAACCAGAAAGTATATAACATTGATTTGGAATGAAAGGAACGTTAGAAGAAAATTTCTATGTCTATGTATCTGATTGAGAAGTTAAGAGAATTTGCCAGGAAAGTTCCTCTTGATTACTTGAATTTGAATTCAGAAAATGGGGTGTTTGTGTTTCTCTCTATAAAAGGAGCACAAGGCAGAGTAACCTAGTCATCATCCAAAGTGGAGATATTAGACAAAGGAAGAAGAAAAGTGTAAGAGTGAGAACATGGACACTGTGGAAGTAAACAAATTTGAGGCATTGCCACTTCTGTCATTGAATCATGTCTCACTCTTGTGTAGATCGGTTTGGGATTCGATGCGGTTCTATGAAGAAGTATTGGGCTTTGTTCCCATCAAACGCCCTTCTTCTTTCAAGTTCAATGGAGCTTGGTAAGCTTTCTGCACTGCCCTTTCTTCTATAAATCCGGTTTTCAATGAAACAGGAAACTAAATAACTGATGTTACGCAGGTTGTATAATTACGGCATTGGGATACACTTAATTGAGAATCCATCCATCGATGATTTTGAAGATATCGTTGAACCACGACCGATTAATCCTAAGGATAATCACATATCATTCCAGGTATAGTATATGAATTCAAGTTGAATATTTCAGAAACTAAGCCTCCACCTGCAGCGTTAACAAGTTTTTGGTTTTTGATGACAGTGTACAGATGTTGGCCTTGTCTTAAGGAGGCTGGAAGATATGGGAATGAAGTATGTCACAGCTTTGGTCGAAGACGAAGGGAACAAGGTTGAACAGGTGTTCTTCCACGATCCAGATGGTTACATGGTTGAGCTCTGCAACTGCGAGAACATTCCAATCATTCCCCTTTCTTCATGCTCATTCAAGCCAAGGCTAAGCAGTTTCATAAAGTCTGCACCGACTAAGTGCGGATTCATGGAAAACGCGATGATGGAGAGCTTGAGCATGGAAATGCTCAACATGTCGTTTTGAAATTGCACCAGAGGAATGATAATTGTGAACAACTTTCACGTTCTTTTCTCTGCTATCCTATGCTGCAACTGTTTTCACAGGTCTTACAATAGTTTGCCGTCTTGTTTTGAACGAAGAAATTGTGTATTTGTTAATAGTTAATAAGTTTGTGGGTTTGAGTGTTGTAATCCCTGTGCAATAAATCTATACCCTGTAAGCCTAAATGAGGCTTTTGATTGTATTAAAATTGAAAGAAAAAAACTATGGCCTATGATATCAAAAAGGATGAAAAAATGGTCATATTGTGCCTTGGCCTGGCAATGCCAGTTGCCAATATTATTTGTGAAATGTCAACTATGCAGCAGCTAATGCTGCTTTGTTTGTTTTTTTTTTTTACAAAACAAAACATGTTTCAATTTACGAAACTGTCATCCTTCAAATATCTTAGTTCTGTTGCTTGTCTTAGTTCCTGTAAGTTTTTCCGGTTTTATTGTCGACAAATTCTGTACTTGATGCGATCATGTATGTGCACCTACATTACACAAGTACATTCAGGGATAAAAACTATAGTCTAAATTCCGTCTATACATCAAAACAGTTCTCTTAAGCTTGCAAAATTGATCTGTGTTGGTTTTTATGTCCGAAGGAACAATAAATCGATGTTCTCAGCGGCAGTGATGATGACAAGTAGACCTGATCTCCGTTTGCTTAAATTTTACTAGGAAGCCAGTAGCCTGGGGACACCTCATTTGTCCTTCTCTTAACTTCTCCATAGCTGGTCAAATTATCATCTCTTTCACTTCTCCATGAACTAGAATAGTTGTTCAGTAAAGTTTTCAGACTGCCCTCATTGCTCATACCAGAAACAGAAGAATGTAATTCATTGCAAAGAACTGATCTCTAACCTGTCGTTTTTCTAAATTTTGTTTTGTTTGACATGTTAAAGCGCTAAGGCTGAAATTGTTCGACTACCTAAATGGTCCAAGCGACCAGATCCGGATGCAAGTTATGTATGGGCAAAGAACCTGATAACTATAACAAGAAGGAAGATCAATCACTGATGATGACAATAGTAACAGATAGGATGGAGGCCAACAACACATGTCGAAGGCACTTCGGGACATGTAGGACTCTCCATTACATGATAAGATATGATCAATTTCATTATAACAGAAAACAAGGAGAGAACGAAAGGATTTTGTAATGATGGAAAGATCAGTAGTCTGCTCTTCCGATTAAATTTTCAGTGCAATTATTTATAAAGCTATTGGAAGATACGGACAAGCTAATAGACATAGCCCTTGACAAACATTCCTTGCTTGGCTTCCTCCGACTCTCCCTCACTTGTGTACTTTCCGAGTTGAGCAAGAGAATTGGTATTTGCCCGGATAAGCAGCGCTTCCTGCGCCGACTTCACATTCTCAGGCCTGCCTCCCCACGTCTTCAGGCATGTATTTTGAAGGACTCTTCCATATGAGATGACACATGCCATGGGTTTGGAGCTTGGTTCATTGCATTCAAGTTCAAGGTAGCCTCAACTTCTGACTACCCACCAGACAAAAACTGCCAAGAGATATCTTGTTTGAGGCTGTTAAACGCGGGCCTATCATCAACTGACACAAGGGATGCTTACTTGGCAACTTGGTATGGCAGAGGTGTGGCTGATACAAGGTGGGGGCTTTAAGTACATATCTTCTGGTAATCTTGTCTTGAAATAAAAGGTTGAATATCCTTAAATTTGCAAAACCAGAATCAATGCTAAGATCACCCAAAAGGCAACATGTAGACGTAAATTCGACTGCCTAAAGTGTCGTTAACTTGGGAATGCTTATATTTTTCTTAGTGAACCAACAAATTAACTTCCTTCTCGGAATCAGTTTGATGCATTCATTCTCTTTCTAATAAGAAATCAAGTATTAGATTCTTCTGATTACAATACATGCCGATGTTAAGTGAAGATGAACATAAATAAATGACAGTCTAAAGTAATATGTCCCTTTGTTTCAAGTACGTATTCTGTATGCAACAAAAATACGTATCATATTTCAATGCAAGAGGTGTCCTGGAGTTAAGGCATTGACCAGTAGCCACTAATTCTGCAGCCATAAGAGAAGGTGCAAATTTTTCTAACAAGGACAGCAATTGAAAGCATGGAAGAGAATGGTGTAGTAGAATCAATGCGTTAGCCTCATTGATCACCTCAAGTTGTAGAAGTGAGCTTATGTGATACATGCATCACAAGGTTCACATCAAGGAAGAAGTAATAACTCTTCCAAAATGATCCACTCGTCCAAGCTTGGAAAAGAAGATCAGAACAGCAGCGCACTTGAGACGACTTTTGAATGGGATCCTGATATTATTTGGTCGGCATGTCTTCTGGAGATACAACCGTCTGTCTCTTATCTTTCTAACGGTTCTTGAATCGCATCAATCCGATATCGGGAACTCAAGATATGGTCATTTTACTGAAGACGGTGCATGCAGGAAATCCTATACGGGATTAATACGTATTTTGTAAATATTACGAATTTTCAATATTTATATTGATTATTTGTAATATAATTTAATATAGGATGATTAATTATCTTTTAGGATCAGATTTATTATTTTATTAGGAATTAAGGTTGGGTTAAAACAATATTTTTAGTTATTATTTTTATTAGGAATTAGGGTTAAAACATGTTTAGTTTATTAATATTTTATTCTTTAGTTATTTAGGACCTTAGAATCAGCCCCTATATAAAGGAGGCTTCATTCAACTTTGTAAATCAGATTTCTTTGATTAATAATACAACGAGAGTTCGTTTTGCAAGTGCTGATTGCCTTGTGCCTTCGAAGCTTTCTCCTTGAGTTCTTTCAAGTTCTTGTGAGGGAGATTAATCTTCACACTCCAATTGCCTTTTCATCACGACTAGGAGGGTTGGTTAGAGCCATTTATCGTGTTTGCCTTTCATTGCGACTAGGAGGGCTCGATAGGACACTTATCCATCTATTATCCACAAATCCATTCGCACCATCAATCGTCTTTACCGTTCCTTCATAAGGGAGATATTTTGATTTCTTTATTATCTTATTTCATCTTCCGTTTATTTATCTTTTGTTTATTTTATTCTAATCTTATTGCCTTGATTCCAGCACATAAAAGAAACTCTAAGAACCCTACTTGCTACCGCCACCTTCCCTATTCGTTCCCTTTGTTTTAATCGAGTCTAGAGCTTTCTAGGTTTGATTCTTCAACAAGAGCAACGTTCATCAATCCGCCACCGCTTCCCTATCAATTGGTATCAGATTTGGGCCGATTCTTGGAAAGAAACAAGCAATCTTGCTTGTTCTTGCACACAAATCGTCAAGGGCCCCAACGGAGCTAGTTCACAAAAGATTCAGCGTTTCAGGTTCTTTTATTTAATTTTAATTTAGATTTAAATCCTTCTTGTTAGTTTGCTATTTTTTTTTTCAAAAAACAAAAAGGCAAAAAAAAAAAAAAGGCAAAAAAAAAAAAACAAAAAAAAGAGCCAAAAAAGCCAAAATTTCAAAAAAAAAATTGCAAACGAAGGTATTTAGGGCTGATTTTATCCTATATCATATTCATTCTAAGATTAAACCCCAGTCCAAATTTCACCCCAATTGGAGTTCATTGGAGCCTTCAAATACATCATTCAAGTTTCATCGGCAGATTCGGTTTAGAATCTTGTCGAATTTCTTGAAAATTTTACAGGAGGAATTTCGTGGTGAAAATTTCCAGATTGAAAATTCATATATTGAAGATCATTCAAACAAAAATCAGAATTTTTGGAGATCAACAACACCTTCGAACAAGCGATCAAGAAAAACAGATTGTTTGAGGACTCACCGTTCAACAGAGTCTACTGGATACTACTGAGGTATTTGGTTCTGAATTTTACAGGTGGTCTTGACGCATCAAAAGACATTCAAGAATTTTTCAAGAATTTTTTGACACCGGTAACCCCTCAAAAACTTTGCTCAAATTGATCCAGCGTTTTCCAGGTTTCTGGGTTGGTTCTTTTTTTCTTTGACTCTTAGTGCTTTAAGTTCTTTTGTTTTTCCTTGTTATTGTTCTTTTACATTATCTAACACATTATCTTCATTGTGTTAGTAGGACTAAAGAGTTTGCATACTTCTTCCTTCTTTGCATTCTCGTTCGCTTGGAGTCTAACATTTGTTTGGCCTCTTAGAGCTTTTAGGTTTTTCTTATCGCCTTTGCTAGTAATCAAACTCCGATACGAACTGTGAAAGACTACTTGGTAAAGTGAGTTTTAAAGAGTACAATATCGGCTTACTTGCCTCTCGTTGTGTTACTTTCTTGGAGTGACTTGTGAGGTTTCTTGCTTTGTTGATTTATTTTATTTATTTTACTTTAAAATTTTCTTTGAGTGTTATGATTTCAGAATGGGCGACACTAACAACAAGACTTACGGCTATCTTAGCCACACTTGCCCGACTCAGACTCAAGTTGAAAGATTTGATGAATCGTGAGAGAACGACAAGAACCACAACGAATCTACCAAACCATAATCCAAGACCACACAATGTTGAACTTTTGGTACCCGAGAAAGAACAACCACGTTTCCAAGCACCCAAACTCTTTACAAAACCAAAGTTCATGATCCGTCTTTCAAAGGAGACAA